CCCCTGATCCCTGGCTCTGGCTGTGCCCCCTGATCCCCTGTGCCCCCTGATCCCTGGCTCTGGCTGTGCCCCTGATCTCCTGGGTCTGGCTGTGCCCCCTGATCTTCTGGGTCTGGCTGTGCCCCTGATCTTTTGAGTCTGGTGTGCCCCCTGATCCCTGGCTCTGGCTGTGCCCCCTGATCTTCTTGCTCTGGCTGTGCCCCCTGATCCCCTGGGCTGTGCCCCCTGATCCCTGGGTCTGGTGTGCCCCCTGATCCCCTGTGCCCCTGATCCCTGGGTCTGGCTGTGCCCCTGATCCCTAGGTCTGGCTGTGCCCCTGATCCTCTGGGTCTGGCTCTGCCCCCTGATATTTTGAGTCTGGTGTGCCCCCTGATCTTCTGGGTCTGGCTGTGCCCCCTGATCTTCTGGGTCTGGCTGTGCCCCTGATCCCTGGGTCTGGCTGTGCCCCTGATATTTTGAGTCTGGTGTGCCCCCTGATCTTCTGGGTCTGGCTGTGCCCCCTGATCTTCTGGGTCTGGCTGTGCCCCCTGATCTTCTGGGTCTGGCTGTGCCCCCTGATCCCTGGCTCTGGCTGTGCCCCCTGATCTTCTGGCTCTGGCTGTGCCCCCTGATCTTCTGGGTCTGGCTGTGCCCCCTGATCTTCTGGGTCTGGCTGTGCCCCCTGATCCCTGGCTCTGGTTGTGCCCCCTGATCCCTGGCTCTGGCTGTGCCCCCTGATCTTCTGGCTCTGGCTGTGCCCCCTGATCTTCTGGGTCTGGCTGTGCCCCCTGATCCCTGGCTCTGGCTGTGCCCCCTGATCCCTGGCTCTGGCTGTGCCCCCTGATCTTCTGGCTCTGGCTGTGCCCTCTGATCCCTGGGTCTGGCTGTGCCCCCTGATATTTTGAGTCTGGTGTGCCCCCTGATCTTCTGGGTCTGGCTGTGCCCCCTGATCCCCTGGGTCTGGCTGTTCCCCTGATCCCTGGCTCTGGCTGTGCCCCCTGATCCCTGGGTCTGGCTGTGCCCCCTGATCCCTGGGTCTGGCTGTGCCCCCTGATATTTTGAGTCTGGTGTGCCCCCTGATCCCTGGGTCTGGCTGTGCCCCCTGATCCCCTGGGTCTGGCTGTGCCCCCTGATCCCTGGCTCTGGCTGTGCCCCCTGATCTTTTGAGTCTGGCTGTGCCCCTGATCTTTTGAGTCTGGCTGTGCCCCTGATCCCTGGGTCTGGTGTGCCCCTGATCCCTGGGTCTGGCTGTGCCCCTGATCCTCTGGCTCTGGCTGTGCCCCCTGATTCCTGGCTCTGGCTGTGCCCCCTGATCCCCTG